CGCAGTGATAACATCACGCCAACAATCCCACATTGTGTAGTAGTCATCCCGCTTAGGCCTAATGAATGGCAGCAGTTTAACTGAGTAAGAGTAAACAAGATCACAGCAGCTGTAACATTTCCATTAATAACGTTATCAAGTTAGAAAAAAAAGAAGCTGGAAATATATGTTGTCAACATTGGAATTTTCTATTAGAAACGCTACGTACGACAGGTGTTAAATTACATCAGCTAATATTCTCTTACAGCACAGTTTAATTTGATTCGTTGAAATGGTAGTTGACGTCACTCCGTGAGTGTTAGAACATTCAAGCTTCAGTACTAATAGACTTAAGTTTTCTATTACTTTTTTTATATCTATCTTGTTTTTTTCAGTGGAAAAGTAAATAGCATGCATCAACCAACTACAGAGTTTTAAAATAATATGTCTAAAAAAGGCTCAGCTACACTTTGGTGAATATTATAAAATTACCTTTGATTGCGCTGAACGGTTTTGTAAGGAATAGACAAAAGAAATCAAAAAGTCGATAATTAACACACTTGCAATTACGTTACCATAATTAATACAATACACTGTTGTGTTTTTTATTTTTCGTAAAAAATAGATTCACTATATATAATGAAACATTATATCTCTTCAACACATTTGTGTATGTATGAAGCCGAGGATTAGCACCGTTAGAGAGAGATTTATCAACTAGTCTTACTATACAGAGTATTATCAGTTCTTTGAATGGTTTAAATGCCATAGCTAACTTATCAACATTTCATCATATATCACGTCTTTATATTCTGCAGACTCGTAAAGGGGTGCACAGTGTCTTCTGTGTCACTGAAGTATTTAAAGTTTCATCATATATTACTTCTTCATGTTCTGCAGACTCGTTAAGGGGTGCACAGTGTCTTCTGTGTCACTGAAGTATTTAAAATTTCATCATATGTCACGTCTTTATATTCTGCAGTCTCGTATTGGGGTGCAAGGTGTCTTCTGTGTCACTGAAGTATTTAAAATTATTTCGATTCTTTTCATACATGCGAAGATTCAGAAAAGAAATAATGTCTTAATTCAGTGAAGGAGTTTTCAGATACTTTCAGCCTGGCTCTCTTTTTTGTTGGTAAACATTCAAGACCCTTACTGTTAGTTAACTAAGACTCAATATAGAATAACTACCGTTCTAAAAATAATATATATGTATATAAATATATATGTATATGTATAACTTTAAAACACTTAATCACAAAACACATAGAATACTAAAAAGAAGGGTCAGGTGTAGCATGGTGGTTAGTGTGCCGTACTGCGGACCCTAGGTTCCATGGTTTGCGTCTCGTTGTTGCAAAAAAATGCGCTCCACACTTTGCGGTCGCGGGTGCGTTAAACGTGTAACTATCAAAACCTTCTATTCGATCAGACAACAATAACACAAGAGTTAGTGGTGAATAATGTTGACTAGCTGCCTATCAGTTCAAATTAGACACAGAAAACCCTTTTGTAGTTGTGCATTAATTGTTTGTTTGTTTGTATCAGGTTAAGCACAAAGCTACACAATGGGCTATCTGTGCTCTGCCCACCACGGGTATCGAAACTCGGTTTGTAGCGTTGTAACTCCGCAGACATGCCGCTGTGTCACTGAGACGAAACGGAAGAGGAACAAAATAAAAGAAACGCTTTCTCTTGAGAACAACAACCAATGAGTGAATATATTAAGAAGAGATCCATCATCATCTTCGCAACCCCCTTTCCATCCACCATTACGGAGTATTTGAGGATCCCAAGAATAACGCATGCCGTCTGAAAAGTATTTTATTACCATAACTCACTTACACCAATTAATATTCGTAGTGAACCATTGAAGCTATTAGTTAATTAATCTCACAGGAAAAACTGTATTTTTTTTTGTGTTAACATCAAAACTGTGATATTAGAAACGTGAGGGCCAATCTGTTCTCGGATTCACCTCACCTTTGAACCCGTCAGTTATCGTGAAATTTCGCTTCTCATCAGTAACCTTGGCTACGTACAAACCAAACTTTTTTAATATTTCGTTTTTTCTAAATAATTCAAAATATTCAATAGGTTGGTGAAATATCTCTTGCTCATTTCTAACCTAGTAAGTGTTATTGACTTAGAGGTGCCGTCCTTCTCTGAAGTGCACAGTTATTCTGTGTTGTTATTGCACACAAGTTATTCAAACGTTACACCAGGAGGCTTCACAAAATACAAAAATGAAAACATCCAACACTATTCTAAAAAAGCAGTGGATTGAAGAAACGGTGTTTGTGATTTCATACTGTAAAATCATACATATAGGTATTATGGACTTTACAGTCTCCTTCAATACCAAATAGAAACATGTTATCGTTATTTTAAAATATGTAAGAACGTGCAGAATAAAAATATAGAAGAAAGTGCAGG